AGCAGCAAAACGGTCCATACTTTCTTTCCACCCCAAGGTCTTCGCCTCCATCATGTCGATCTCCTCGCGGAATTGCTCGATCCTCTCGACCTTTTACTGTAGCTGTGAGATTGAAATGTTAGCCACCGTTCCCGAATCGAGCCCATGAGCTTTTAAGATTTTTATTACCTGCTCGATTAGGTCGGTCTGATCTTGGTGAGCCTTGGCCAACTCGGCTCGGAGGTCCTTGATTTCTTTTTCTTTTTTCCCTCTAAGAAGTTTAAGGGCATTTCTCTCCTCCATGAGCCCTCGGAGGTCGGCCTCACATCAACTCAGATCTTCTCGGGACTTTGAAAATGCCTCCTGATGGAGCGCCAAAGCCTATACGTAAAAAAGAAAGGAAGTTAGACAGGAAGAGAAGAAATAAACTAAGTATGATATCGACAAAGGGAGTTGAGACTCACCCGATTCAAGGCTTGTTGAGCTTCATCGAAGAGACTCGATGCTTCATTCAGGTCGGTAGCATCCTCGACCCCGATAAAGTAACCACGGAAGGGGTCCTCCCTTCCATGGGCCTCGTCTACTTTGGGAGTCTTCATAGCTTGGGCCTCCCGAATTGCCTCCTCGGAAAATGCAGGGAGAATCGGCGAGTCTCTAATATCTATTGCCCCAAGAGAGCCACTTAGGGCGTTCTCCTCGCTGCGAAGGGCCTTGGAGACGGCCCCTTCAGACATACCCACCTTTTTCTCACCTCGGCGGGAGGCATCTTCGATCTTCGATGACTCAGGGACTTTGCCCGAGTCCTTTTCCAAGACCCCCTCGGCTCGAGGCGGAATCTCCTCAACCACCACCGACTCAGCAGCCTTTGGGGCCTCAATGGTTTTCTTCACTCGGGCCACCAATTCCGAGCCATTGTCTTCATCTTCCTCCCTTAGCCGTTGAATCACATCCGCAGGCAGGGCAACAGTGTCTTTCTTTGGCTTACGAACTGGATTCTTCTTAGGCTTTGGATCCTCAGAGGTTGAGGTCATTTTCCTCTTCTTATCCTTCGTCGGCTTTGGAACATGGGTCGAAGTCTCCTCCTCATCAGACGGGGGCCTCATGACCGCATCCTTGCCCAGGCATGTACACGAGAAAATTGAATAAGTAGAAGAAGGGCATCTTAATCAAATCATCAAATACACAAAAAGTGGGCTTACCATGAGTCTTTGCCCTCCCAGTTGCAGCATTTCTTTACCTGCTTAAGGTATCCCTCAGTTATCGAGCATATATACCTCGACATTGGCTCGCATCGACCAGGAATCGATGAGGCTTTATCGGTCTTGAAATCGGAGTTTAGCGCGCACTCCCCAGGAATGCATTCCTCAAGACGGGGTTCCACCGGCGTTTTTTCGTTGGACGGTTGAGAAGATGAAGCAGCTTCTTTTTGTGGTACCGTTTTCGACATTTTTTGCCGTTTTTGTGTAAGTTTGAAGAAGAGGAAGATAATAGGACTTGACGTTTGAGAAAGAATTAACAGCAAAACCTGAAGATTTGTAAAAGAGAAGAACTTAGGAGATGTAAAAGCATTGGAGATTAGAAGGAAGTAAAAGTAAAGTTTGAATCAATGAGGAAGGAGTCTATTTATTGGATTCACGGCGATGGTTCAAAGGCACTAGTGGCCGACCACCAACTGACACTCATTAATGACTTGGAAAACTGTACCGATGGGACATTTCGGTCACTCACGTCGCTTACGTCACAAGGATGATGTCATGACAGGTCGAGGTAGAAAATCGAAGGCTCAATTGGTTTCTTGTCATTTCACTCCAAAAAATAAGGGGACTATCTGTATACGGTTAAAACCGGGACCACCTGATTTTACTATTTGACCGAGATCGGAAGGTCGCATCGAAGGATGGCCTCGTAACGGAACTGACTAAACCACGAGGATAAGGTACCGAGTTCAGAATCGAGGTACCTGTCGAGATCGAGGCTAGTAGCGATAGAAGCCAAATGAGACAGACATCGAGCAAGATCGAAGATAGCACAATAACAGAAAGGTGAGATATCCGTGACTGGTCGAGGATCATGGCGTAAATCTCGAAACGGATCAAATCAGAAACGCTTAATTAGCTAATCATGAGATTTTCTTCCGTAATTAGAATTATACCATAAGTGGAATTCCTCTACTATTTAAGAGGGGGTTCTAATCATCTGTAAGACACATTGTTCACAGATATCAAAGCAATATAATTCTCTTTCTTGTTTATACTATTGTTCATCAGCTTGTTATATTTTAATTGTTCTTACATCAACCAGTTTGAGGGTATCCAAACTCGAGGGTTGAGTTCCATTCTAACACTTGTTTGCTTTACTTTATAGTTCATTTATGTTATTAATTTTCATATTTATCAATTGGTATTAAGTGAAAACATGTATCCTTAGAACCACATTATAAGTTTAATTGTTATTCAATTTTAAGGGTAAACATGAGTATATTAAATAAATATTTTTCTTCATTGGAAACAAGAAAGAGAGAAAAAATCAGCAAAAGGTTAAAGTCTTGGGTTAAAAAGATAAAATTCTGTAAATTGTCACGTTTTAACTTGGATCCCGAGCAGGAGCTGCTATATAATCTGTATTTGGGTGGAAAACAATAAGTTTTTTTTTTTAATTTAAAATGGTAATTTTTTTATTTTTTTTCTTTAACATTTGTGTTGTTTTGTAAGACTAAGACCTTACGGTCCTGTGGTCCAATACGTTAATGCTGCACATTATGCAATGCCCATTATACATTGACTTGTTAAAAGGAAAAACACATAAACTTCACTTCTAGAAGTGCGCAATACCAATTGCATTGCCATTCAAACTATGGTTATGGTATGCTATAATAAGGTTATCTGTTCTTTTTTTAAAAAATATTTTCTTTTAAATTCTATTTTTATTCACACAAGTAAAAGAAAAAAAAATATCGCTTCATTAATATTTCTCCTATTGGCCTTACCAAGAACGGTACAAGTAGAAACTAGATTTTTCTAAATAACAGTAGTGTCCAGAAAACTTATGTGTATTTCAACTATTTTATTGAATATTTGCTGTGTTTTATCTGCACAAAAATAGGAAGATCCAACAGATTTTTCCAATGTATCATTTTTGGGTCCAATAGAATTCACAGGTACAGGAAGAAGCCCTATTTAATAGAGATTTTTTCTTTCGATCATATTTCGATTGTTAATACGATATATAAGGACCGCAACTACAAAGAGTATTAACACCCTTGATCGTGAAATTTCAATTACTTGTTGAACCCTATAAATTGCGTGAAAGTAGGATACTCCAAATTCAGGAGTCAAAGAGTTTTAGAAAACGTTCTTGATGGAAAATAATTGAATGAAGGATCCCATTGAATTGAATTGGGTCCATGAATCTAAGAAATGGTGATAATTCTATATCTCTCTCAATTCGAAAATCCAGGATTTGAATTGCTGTCCTCTCATTGATTCCTCCTAAATTGCATTGATTTATCCTAAAGATTTTATTTCAATTGAAATTTGGTTATTCACCATGTACGAGGATCCCCGCTAAACATTCATGGCTGAATGGTTAAAGTGCCCAACTTATAAATGGCGAATTCTTAGGTTCAATTCATACTGGATGCACGCCAATGGGACCCTCCAATAAGTCTATTGGAATTGGCCATGTATCAATAGAATCTCATCATCCATACATAACGAATTGATGTGGTATGTTCATATCATAATATATGAATAGTAAGAACAAGCGTTCTTATTGAGACTATAACTCATAGGGAAGAAAATCGATTTATGGATGAAATCAAATAAGCAGTATTTATAGACAAAAGTATTCGATTATTCGGAAAAAATTAATATACTTCTAATGTCGAATCGGGATCAACTAGGACAGAAATAAAGCATTTGTCGAACTCTTCTTTGGTGTCAAGGTAATAGCTATGAATAGTCATCGACTGCCCATCAAATCTTAGGATAAAATAAAAAAATCACATGCTCCCTCGTTTTACTTTGTTTGAACCTATTTGACTAGGTACGAAATATAAGGATAAAAAATATTTTTAAAACTTGTGATCTAAACTCTTATATCTAAGATTCGCACTCATTTTGGTTGATCATTAGACTACCCTTGGGTGCAAGGCTGGCTCCAATGTTCTACCTAATAACGCTTGTGCCTTAGGTCCCTAAATTTGGGGGGCCCATTTTTTTTTTTATAGATAGAACGGGTTTATATGTACTTTAAAATAATAATATTTTATACTTTAATACAAAAGTAGATTTTTCATATAGAAAGAAAGAAGTTTTTTTTAGATATGTAAATAAAGTAATCGTTTAACTTACTTATAAATAGGCAGTGTGAATATTTTTTCTAACGTCTGAATTTGAGTTGACGTTTTTTTGAACTAAAACGGTTAACATAAGATAATATACTCTAAAATCTAATCGATATAACTCAATCAAATAAAAAGTCTTGATTCTTTTTCAAATGCTTATATTACCTAAGACCAACAATGTCTTAATAGAAATTTAATGTGGTGGCTAAATAATCAATTGAAAAGAAATTATTAGAAGAAAACGATTGCAAAAATAATTATTAATAATTTTGTATCTCAAAAAGTTAGAAGAATAGACTCCTAATAAAAATATATTATAATCTTTTTAAAAAAATTAAATCTCATATTAGGCCACTTGAGCCGACATGCTTGGGTGCCCAAGTGGAAATAAGAATTAGGAGGGCACATAAAATTTTCCAAAAAATAAGTGAACACAAAGAACCACTTTTCCCGTTGGGTTTAAAAGACATTCTGGAATTGTCTTAGTTGGCCTCTTTTTACTCGATTAGAAAAAAGCAAAATTGGCTTGTCGTCCACTTAATACAGCCCCAAAGAATTCGACCGTTGAAATCCTTATGCTGAACGGTCGTCTTTCTGTATAATAAATAATGTAAACTCAACTCCACTTCTTACTTAATTCAATCGTTCTCTCTCTCTCTCTCTCTCTCTCTCTCTCTCTCTCTCTCTCTCTCTCTCTCTCTCTCTCTCTCTCTCTCTCTCCACTTTACAATTAAATCTACCTAAAATCTCTCTGCTACTTGTGTACAATAGTTCATCAATGGAGGGAAAGCAGATTGCAGTTGTACCAGAAACTCCCATTAATGAATCCCTACAGGAAACAGTTCAATCAAAAACTCCCATTAGTAAAGAAGCTACTGTTGCTGTAGAACCAGAAACACCGCCGCTACTAATTCGACCAACAATTGTTCTTCAAAATTCTCCAATCAAAAGTGGGAATACCCCTGATCGCCTTAAGCTCCCTAAGCCATTCAAATACCCTGAAAGGTATAACTTTTCTTTTCTTTTCTTCTTCTCTTACAAATTAAATTCTCTATGATTGTGGAATCAAAGTAGAGAAAATTTTATTAGAATTTCAATAAATATTAAATTTCGAAAACGTAAGTTGAAAATAGGTTCAGTAGTAAGAAATCTTGAATTCGCTTGAGGAATAAACTGTGTTTCTGCAGGTACACAAGTCCAACTGATCAAATGATGTCCCCTGTTTCGAAGAGGCTTCTAATTGGTAGAAATAGAAAGGCCAGCACACTATTGCCATTGCCACCCTCCAAAAATCGACCACATCATCAACCTATGGTACGTATATATTATATGCATTCGTAATTTCTGTTTCTTTTCCTTCATTATATCTAAGATGAAAAATGTGAATTTTGTGTAACCTTTACCCCTGCAGGTTCAAGGTTTACAGCTTCAGGAGTCTGGTCTTTGTCAACGTTTGAATTGCTGATATTGGGATTATTCATTTTTATGACTTCCATCAATATTATTGTAGCTTCTAAGTCTACTAAGTGATTTTACCTTTACAAATCCTCCTGTAATGCGAAAAGAATATGCTTTTATAAATATAAATATGTAAACTTTGACCGCAAAATTCTTGGCTTGGTCACTGAGTTGAATATAAAGTTTCCTTGTCTCCGGCCATGCTAAAAAAGTACTTAAAACACAAACACTTGTTCAAGGCCAACTTTAAAGAGTAAAGCAAATTAATCACTATTTGGGGGAGACGCTCAGCAATTGCTTCTCCATACAGTACGCAAGCTTTCTAGATATTTTCTTGTAATTACAACACACTTACTAAAATACACTCCTATGACTATAATTAAATACAGGCTCCGCCAAACCTGACTTTTGGGTGGCGTCGTTTGCACGACGGTGACCACAATTTCATGCACTTGTCGCGTTTAATTTGTTATAGCAGCTTACTTACTTATTAATTACTATTCCTTCGATGATAACAACTCAAAATTTAAATTTATAATAGGTCTTTCTTTTAATTCTTTTTTTTTTTTACTTTTATAATTTCAGCATGGAACTTATTGTAGATCTAATGTTTATTAAGATTTTAGTAGGTTTTTAACAAAGATATCTATAATCCATAGAGGCGGATCTAGGATTTTTAGTACATAGGTGCACTACTAAAAAAAAAAAAGAGAAAGAAATGTATTAAGTGGGAATTGATCCCTCTTCCTCTTGGTAAATAACTCAACTTTCAACCAAGTGCACCATTCAACCTTCTTGGAGCATGGGTGTCAGCAGTTTATATTATACCAATTTTAAAAAATATGTATATTAAATATTTAATTTTACGAAGAGACCATGGGTTCACGAACCCCGCATTTTACCCTATGAATCCGCCTCCGATACTCCGTATTGAAAGTTTTGATTCACATGAACCCGTAGCTAAACGGCTACATCCGCCCCTAAATGTGTGTCATATAAAGTTACCTGCATTAATTGTTAATTAAGTAACTTGATTACATAAATACTTTTTTATGTTGTCAGTATATAGAACTTAAACTGCTGAAAATATAGGCTCCATCTCTAAATAATGAAAATATGGATAAGATAGCCTCATATCACATCCGAATGCATCCATCGATTGGGGAACATGGCTTGGAAAACGTGGGCCGGGTAGGCACCAATTGGACCAAGCATTCATACCCGACCCGAATATTGAGTATATTCTTCGGATATATAGAGTTGGCGCCAACGGTTGGTTTTACAGTTATACGGAAAAACAGATCAGTCATCACCGAAATGGCTGCTTGGCCTTCCTTTTTTGAAGCAATAAATTTACCTAAAATAAAACCCTTAAACTGATCCTTTTATTTTTTTTTCCCTTTGGTTTCTATTACTTTTTTTCTGAGCCCTAAATCATTTGTATTTCCTATTGAAGTTTATCCTCTTAGGAAAATTATAGAATTTCTTCTTTTATTCAAATTCGAATTCATTGGATTTTTCAATCTCTTACCTCACAATATTGATTGAGGGGTAAGTAGCTGTATCTTTTTTATCTTTGGATTATCATTAGCAAAAAGGATACAGCTAGTAATCAAGATTTGATTTTGAGGATTGGTGGGATTATAGGTAAATTCAATTGCTTTTGGCTCTTTTTCTTTAGCATTAAAGCTCATTTCAACACCAAATTCTGTCAAAAAATTAGAGCCTGTAAAAAGAAACTGAATGATATTTTATTTTTTTTGGCTAGGTGAAATTAAATTTGAATCAGACATATGATTGAGCGTTGGAATAAAACAAGTCCAAATAGATGAAATTGAATTGAATGATATTTCCTGAAGTGGTGCTGTTGATTAAAAAGAATTAGTCAGGATATTGTTTAAATTTCTCATTTATGTTTCTTAAAATTCAGTCTAAAGGATTTATGATGTTCATTCTGTTTAGCAGACTCCGGGTCAGGAAATTAATTGTGTTGCTATCTCCTCCAAGAATTTTAGAGATAAAAATGTGTAAGCTTTTTTTTGGTTTCACGTGTTTCCAACTTCCAAGAATGTCAAAATGACCCTTTTATTCCCACTTTATTAAGCGAAACAAATATGGTTCTCCCTCCCCTCCATTTTAAATGAATTTTTAAGGAATCCACCTTTTAACATTAATTAACAATAAAATTAATCATATTAATTTTAATTTGCTCATTAAAAAATATAACAAACTACTCCTAGGCTCTTTACTCCAATGACAACTTTAGAAAGAAGAAGTTAATTGCTTCTTGATATCTGAAAAAATCAAATATTATGAACCACAAAAAAAATACCCCAAAAATCACTTAAAGTGAACTAGAGGGAGTAATAAAAATGTATTTGGTTCTCTGAAAGAAGATTATAAAACTGGAAGAAATAAATTATAGACAAACTTTATAAGCACAGGCATTAAGTTACAGTGGTTTCTTATCACCTTTGTCCAGAAATATCAGTAGGTTATTCCAAAGCAATGTTTTACTCCCAACTTACCTTTCAATGTTTTTTGCTGAACAAGTATTTGTGCTAAACTTCATTATCTATCAAATTCTGTTTTAATATCAGCCAATTCTGTCTTAAAAAGTATGATACCATAGAAAAGATAGTATGCATTTTGTTGAATTGTTCATGTTTTGCAGGAGAAATATTACTCGAACTACATTAAGCGCTGAAAATACTATTGATTGGACAAGAAAAAAAAGGAAATGGAGAATTGGAGTAGTGGTAATATGCCTATAATGCAACATCCTGAGACTAAGCATGAGGATAGAAAACCACTTATGGAAGTGAAAACAACTGGTTTATATCCTTCCTCATCTTCTCCGTCATCGCCTTCTTCATCTGAGGATTCAATATTGGAACTAAGTACTAGTCGAAAGGACCCTCTCGGAGATTTATATACAAAGTCTGAAAAAGATTCTTCTTTATCACCTAGTCCAGCATCTTCATCTTCTCCTGATGTTCCTAGTCAGACACCACAGTGGAGCATGATAAGTGCATCTCCGCGTGGTGAAATGGAGGCTCCGCCATTTCCTGATGAATGGAATGGAGCTAACCCTTCGCCGATGAAGTCTCCTCCAATACATACTATGGGTCATCCTCCAGGTTATGACCCCAATCGTATTCCATCGTCTGTCTTCTCAAGCAAGCCTACTAATCCTATGGAATGGAGTACTGCTTCAAATGAGTCATTGTTTAGTATTCATATGGGAAATAACAGCTTCTCTAGAGATCAGTTCAACATGATGTATAGATCTGGAGAACTAACTAAGCCAGAAGAATGGAGTAATTCTCCGGCCAATCCATATAATGCACAACCTGAAGTTAAATCCAATGAAAAGAAGAGCCTACCTCCAAATCTTCCCCTGCCTCTTGTAGAAATGGCGACAGATAGAGAGGTAAAGAGTGCAAGTGTGGTGGAGGGTCCCGCTATGCAAGAAAAGATTGTCGAATCCCCCAAAATAGTCCCTGTGGAAAATCATGAAAATAACATCAAAGACAAGACATCTAATGTCGACGATGTTCAGCATTCTGCCTCAGCGCCCAACAAGTCAGATGATAAAGCTGTTCCCCCGACTGAGGCAAGTCATGCTTCCTCACCCCGCCTCTCCAATGAGAGTGGAAACAGCAGCAGTTCCTTTGCTTTTCCAGTGTAAGATCTTTTTTTCACGACTTCCAGTTTGAGGGAATGCAATGCACTATGGTTTTCTTTTCTGCTTCTGTTCGTGTGGAGGTATCTTGTTAGCAGATTGCATCTAAAACTATCCTACATATCAATTTTGTATGTTTTGATTCTAAACACAAATATCGACAAGCTTTCTCTTTCATGGGCCATATGTTTACTTGCTTCATGATTTTTAGATCTTTTGGTGCTCAGTTCACACATGCTAGCTTTCTTTAAATAAGCATTGCAAACTTGTAGAAAGTTTAGTATGTATCTAGTACTTTTTGGTCTATGTTCAGTTATAAAATTTTGCTTAAAAGAAAAATAGCCTCGTGAAATTTAAGGTGTTTTACTTTGACAGAAGCTTCTTTTTTTCTATGAGTTCTGAACTTTAAGAAACATATATAGAAGTGCAAGTATCTCTAGCAACTGATGACTTAATTGAGAAAAGGGATAAAACAGCAAGAACTTCTCTGCTGGATTTTACCTTCTATTCCTTTTTGGATCTGGACTTAATCATGTTATCGTTTTGCTAAATGTGCGGTCATAGTATAACCTTCTACTACTTGTTTTGTTCTTCCGTTGTCTACTCTCTCTCTCTCACACAGAAATAGTGTGCTCACTTCTCATTCTGCTAAGGTTTCACATTTAAGATAATCTTGTTAGTTTTTTTATTTTCAATTTTGGGTGAAATGCGCTCTGCCATTGTTCCGTGCATGAAATACATTTGAACTGTTTATAATTACTTTTGGTTCATTGCAGACTACTTAATGACGCCGGGAAAACTGGCTCACTCAAAGCAGCTTCTGCTAAAATGGAGAGGCATCAACCTCAACCTCAACCAGATTCACAACCAGCAGTGCAGCCACAATCACCACCACGATCACGGCCACAACCACAACAACAGTCAAAACAACCAGAGTCACAGCCTAAATTGGCAGCGACCACTTGGTTTTCTTGTTTCTCTTGCTGGCCGCGATGTTGTTGATATAGGCTTTATCCTTGTTCTTTGTACACACGAAAGACTAATTCATTTGTACTTAATCAAGGAGGACTCCTGGTTGGGTTAAGGGAAATTAGAAGTAGAAGTGTTTTCATGGTAAATTGTAAATTTTCTTTTGGCATGTGAGATAAATGTGAAGGCATTTGGTGTTACATTTAATCCAGAGAGGTCAATAGTATTTACGAAATAGTTCAGTCTTTAAAGAAGTTTAACACAACTATATTGGGAATGCATGATAAGCTATATGGGTTGAGTTTTGATGCCCCGGGCTTTGGTCTAGCAGTAATAACGCAACACGTGATGTGTGAATTACCTACATATCAGAGGTTCTGTTACGAATAATTTTCTCCTTTAACATACGTGATGCTGAAGGGTTGGATGCCAAACATTTTGTGTTTGAGGCTTTGAACCATTTTCCAATTTTTATTAGGCATAATTTCTGTGGCAAGTTTTTCTAATGGTAAGTTGCTTTTAGCATTAGTCACTAATAGAGTGAAAACAAAGTAGAAAAAGTTCGCATGTCGAGACTAATTAATATTGATTATTGGTCGAGGATTGTAGCAAAACGAAACCCTGAAAAGACAAGCTACTTCGTCCAGTGTTAAATAAGCAAATTGAACGTTGAATTTTACCTCACCACATGCACCCGGCACATATGGACAACATCAAAACCTGTCAGAAACTTGCAGAATTTTTTTTACCTAGTAGTTGTTCAAACAGGAAACTGCTGAAAACAAATACCATACAACAGATATGATCTCCTAACAAACTATGTAACAAGTACAATACCAATCAAATGAGAGAAACATAGGAGGGAAAAGTATGAAATGAAAACAAATGCAAGTGCCTGCCAAGTAAATCTACAGATACAATATTTGACAAAGTACTTTGTAGTCATAACCTCCAATAAACAAAAAGAGGGGAAAGGATGAGGTTATGAAAACATACGAAAATGCCTCCCAAGAATATCTACATACTCCATTTGACAGAGTACTTTTTGGTCATAAAGCTCCAAAAACCAAGGTAACTGATCTGTATTCTAAACACTCTTCTAGATTTATATTCTAGCTAGAACAACAGCAGAGATTACAAAATATTCCTGTCAACCTGCCATCCAAACATTTGTGCTTCTTTTCTACTCACCCAGTAACCATGCTACATTCTTCATGGATGCTCCAAATTCTAGTAAGGTGAAAGCAATAGTAGATTCTTTAATGGAAACAAAATTTCGAGAGAGAAGGAAATTTTAAGATGAAGAAATTTAGGATTGTTGGTAACCATGAAGCTGGAATGAAAGATTACGAGATCCATCAGCATAGTTGGGTGGATAGAAGCATGATAACAATCCATCCGTTTAACATAAGGTTGACCATGGTGCAGAAAGCTGCCCACTATATCAGCTGCAATGGCATGTGGAAAAGCATTCCACAAAAGTAAAAAAGATGTTGCTCCTACGCCAGTGTCATCGATGCACTGAACAAACCGTCTCCAACGAAATTGAGCTTCTTTTAAAATCCATAAATCCAAGATATTTGATCCATTTCTGACTAGGACATGTTAAAATATTGAAAGAGCTCTCTCAACTAGGTATCTATTCTGGTACCACTATTATTATAAGTTTCTGGAAGAGTGATAACAACTGGTTGCCAACCAGAGTGCGAAGTTTTAATCCAACGCTTCAGCGTGATAATCATATCCAGGATTTGAATTACTTCACCCAATGTAAGGTCTTTTAAGCACGAGTTTTTAAGAATCAGAGCTGCTTCATACCTGATGGCAAATGGACATCAGAAAAAACTCTGGAAATTACTAAAAAACATGCAGCAGAATTCGTTTACCTGCATTCAGATGCTGCTATTGCTGAACGTCCAGCAGCTGAACAGAGAAAATTCTCAATCGCATTCCAAGTTGCATCTCGATACTGGTTAAGATTTCCACCAAGTGGATTAACGCAATTCCAGATCCTCTCAGTCCTACCAACATATAGCTCCAAATTTCCTACTTTTATCTTTAATATCATCTGTTGCTCTAGTGCAGAATTTAAGGCTGCTGTAACATCAGTATGACGATCTTTTGAGTTACCATAACGTACACAATAAGTAATGTTTTCTTCTGTTGGCACAATCTTCTCAAGCTTCAAAGTATTCAAGGCAAGCAAGATGACCCCTATAAGACCTTGAATGTGTTCAGGAAGCTGGAGACCCAAATCTGAATTACCAGGAACAGATTTAGAAATCCCCAATGAGGATGAAGGGAAGGAAAACTCAGGACGTGCAGGACTCTTGTTAAGAGAACCGTCGATATCACCCCCAACTGCAAGCAAATTAAGCCGCCTCAAGAAAACTATCTGGCCTAATAAAATTCAGTTTCGGTCAGAATACTTCCCTATTTTGTCAATTTAAAATTAAAAGCATAAAACAAGTTAATTGGGCTATCAGATAAATTACCCCTAACAGCATCAGGATGGCATACAAATGGTGTAGAAAAAACTGCAGAACTTTCAGGTCGTGGAGGTGCAGGCTGCAAATTGTTCTGGCAAGAGTTCGAATTCACAACTTTATCTGGAACTAAAAGAGGTTGAGATTGAGTACGCTGAGCATGCTTATTTTCTATGAATTTACTGCTATGGTTCTCTGAACTATCAGGCTTTGCGAAAAACTGATGTGGTGCAAACTGCTTTGGTGCAACATCTGGTTCTTGTGGGCAATGGCTGCTACTAGTTTCTTCAATTCTAGCTGGCATACTTGACATGCCGGTCATATTCAGTTTATTCGAGTTCTTAGGTACGTAAATAGCTTTAGTTTTAGTATCAGCAGTGCGTCCAGGATTAGATAACCTTTGGGGTCCAGAAGCATTAGTATTGGCATTGGCTTCGGAATAAGCAGGTTGGTTCACAGATATAGGTTTAGTAATTGGAGTCAATGTTGATTCTTGGCGTAATGTCTTAATGCCATAAGAAAGTTCTCGTGGAGATCCTCCAGCAGCAAGGCTTGTCCACTGCCACACATTCTTGGCAGCAGCAGCAAGAACAGCAGAAGCTTGTAAAGGTTGTGCTAGAAGAATATTATATCTCCTCATGCGTAACTGATGAATGGCATTGGAGAAATCCCTATCTCCCGAAATGAGCAGATAATTCGCAGGTGCAGGATTGTCCACTGCCCAAAATAGCATGTCCACCAAAATTTTCTTGTCACTTGCATCCTTAACCCCTGTTACATGAAACAAAATTCAATTTTTTTCCTGAGAAGGCAAAATTCAATTGGCAATACGCATTTATACTTAGCTTGAAAACACTAAAATGTAAGAAGGATGTAACTAACAACAACAACTACCAATCCCAAGCAGGTTGGATTGTTAGGGCCAGCTATATGAATCCTTATTGTCCATATACTATATCTAAACTCCTTTCAATATAATATATAAAGTTAAATCTCTAGAAGGGCTAACAAACTCCTAAAAATATTGGACCTAAAGGAAACGGACTAACACAACTAAAACTTAATCCCACTAATTGGTATATCCTAATGAAGATCTTTTTCTTCAATTTAACCTATTTTTCACTAGGTCTGCATGGATTCCTCCCAAATGATTTTAGGTCTACCTCGTCCTCTTTTAAAACGTTCACTCGCTAGGTTTTTCACCTATCAACCGGTGCATCTGAAGTCAACGTAGGACATGATCAGACCATTTCAAATGAATTGCTCTCATTTTATTCTCAGTGTATGCTACTTGTATGATATACATTCATCTTAGCATCTGCATCTTTGTGACACCTATCTTTTTCTTTTTTTTAAAAAAGTAACTAAAGATTATATAAATTTATGCACTAAGCCAGTGCATCAAGCATAATTACAGGTTGTGCAACATTCACTCTGATAACACTTTGGTAGCACTTATCCATTTTAACCATCCTACTTTGGTTCAATATGTAACATCTCCATCTATCATATCATTCTCCTAGAGCATCGAGCCTAGATATCTGAATTGTTTATATTTAAGTACTGCAATCCCGTCTAACCTCACCTCAACTTCAATCTTCGTATACTAGCTAAACCTGTTGTTCATATATTCAGTCTTACTTCTACTTTTCTAAAAGCCTTACTCTCTACCGTGCTTCTCCATTGTTCAACTTTTTTGGTTGACGCCAAGCTCGCTTCCAATTACCACAATAACATCAGAAAATGTTGATGTAACCACTTCATCTGAAATCTTAAGCTGTGAGAGAATGACACCTTTATTTATTTATTTATTTGGATGAAATGACAAATGTAGCAAACTGGACGGTGAGGATTCATATAGTCAATCTCAACTAGCTTTGAATTGAGGCTTAGTTGTTGCATTTTTTACTTATTATTTATATTTGCAACATATCCTATCAAATAAGGTGTAAACCATTTCGTCTTTTAGATAGACATGTATATCTATTTTGATACATGTAGCAAGATGAAGCAAGGGTTTGCTAGTGTACCGGCCAGGACGTGATTGAGAGCGATTCCAGTACTAGAGAGAGCATTTTGAACGGGCCAGGGGATGCGATTGGTGTCGCCATAGGCAGAGATGGTGACAGGTCCGTGATAGTTCATCTTCATCAATGCCGCGCTTATATTCTGAGCGATTGTGTAAGGGTCGCATCCCCTTGGCACCTGACAGTTCTCTATATCCCACCACACCGACGTCTTTGCCGCCGCGTATTGCGGTTCCACCGCTGCTCCGCTGGGAAAATCCGCCGCCGCCGTCAATCCGTCTCCGGCCATCGCCTATACAACGATTTTCTCTGACTCTGCTACCATTTAACCCTCATTCTTCTGATTATCTTTTTTACTCTACTATTTTGTCATACCTCTATCACTTCGCAATTCCTCAACATTCAGTTCCTCACTGTCCCACTATCCTTCTCTGAATTTACCAAAATAACCCCCTCTCTCCTCTCTTGAAACTAATGTGTGGGTATTTATGGGAATTTGGTTTGCCGTTAATATTATAACTCTTCAAAAACAGGCGCGATTTCCAACTATTTAAGAGAGAGAAGAAAAGGAATGAGAAATAGAGGCCGGTGTTTGGTACTTCAATGTACTGTATTTAAAAATTTGTGTATTCGATTTACAATTTCAAATATCATACCAAAAAGTAATTCGATACACTTCATTATTTTTTCTGCTTGGTTCGCGGTGAATTCTAATTCAGTATTCCTTTAGTACTGGGTTGAGATCTGTATTCAATCCAAAATAGTTGCACTAAGACTTGAGATCTGTATTCAATCCAAAATAGTTGCACTAAGACAAGTGTTACGTTTCAGAAGGTGCAACTTATTGCTCAAGGATTCATAATCTCTGTATATATAACAATATATTGCAATCAGTGACCCACATTCCCATAAATATTCATCAACGGGGAGTTTATTGATGGATCGTATATCATCCTGAATATGCACAAGGTAATTTCCTTGTCTAGTTAGGCTGGGTTAAAGGAAAATGCTAAACAAGTTTTTATAGTTACAGGAAATACTTACCGAAAAATCAAAACTTGAATATCGAGATCCGTATCGAAGTAATGAACAACCAAAAATTTCACACCGGATAACCGAAGAACCGATATCGAAATACCGAATTAACTCGGTTCGGTCCGGTCCGGTTTTTAGGTTTTTCGGATTTTATGCCCATCCCTAGAAAAAAAGGGAAAAATCGACTAGAGAGTATAATTTTATATTTACTTTTTTCCGGGCGTATTATACTCTGTCCATTTTAAAATGTTTTGACAAACTCCATATTATACTATAATATAATTTTTACGTACTATTTTTTAATTTGAAGTCTTCTAACTTAATGTAACGTTTTTGCTCTTTCAAATTAATCTTTTAATATTTTCTTTTACCGCTATTTGTTTAATTTACACCATGACTGTAAGGGCAAAGTTACGATATCCGAAGGGTGGTGTTGAAAAATTAAATTATATATATATAAAATACTAAATTTTAGAGGTGCATAATATATATAATTAACACTCTTTGTCAGAGAATGTTTTTCGCTTTTTTCAATAAACACCCTTTCGGAATTTCTCGCTTCGCCGTCAGACTAGTTAAACCAGTATCACTTTTGATTCGTGTAATCTTAATCTATTCTCTTGCAATCAGATTGTGTTTCCATCATTAACTGTTGAATATGTACATATGCAAATTTTACTCAACCTTTCAATCTTTTATTTTACATAGAAATTGTATTTTTAGTAGCTTTCTTACTGCAATATAATAGTCTTTCCATGTCACTTGATTTTTGCAATTGAAATTAAATTATATACATTCAACATACCTAACTCAACATTCTTAGGTAATAATCAAATAAAAAAATTGGAGGAGAATTGATGATTTTATTTCAATTACCTTGTATTATTTAAATGGAGTAACTTAGAACCATTTCTCAATTTGCACGTGTCAATCCTTGGGCAAGGCGTGCTTATCTTCTCTAAATCGTTTCAATTTTATGAAATGTCCTACTTTACTATATTTAGAAAGGCAAAGGGCCAAATATACTCATTTATTTTCGAAATGGTCTAAGAATAATCTTCTTTATACTATTGGGTTATCTATACCCTTTCCGTCATACTTTGGAACAAATATACTCTTACTTTGGATGGAGTGTCACGTGGCAACACCATATAAAAACGACCCATTTTTTTTTACCCGATCTGTTTTAAAAAATTCACCACCCGACCAATTTTAAAATTCAGTTTTTTTAGCTTTTTTAAAGCATATATTTTGTAAAAACTGAAAAATTTTTTTGTAAAAACTGGAAAAAAAAAAAAGAATTTGCAAAATATATATTTTTAAGTCTTTTCGATTTTTTTTAAAGTATTATTTTTGTAAAAACTGAAAAAAAAATTGTAAAACCTGAAAAAAAGACTCTCCTAAAGCAGTGGACTACACATGCATTAGTTTAAAAAAAATAAAAACATTTTGCAAAGTCTTTTTTTTTCAGTTTTTACAAAAAAAATACTTTAAAAAACTGAAAAATATATATTTTGCAAATTTCTTTTTTTTATTTTTTCAGTTTTTATAAAATAAAATTAAATTAAAAATGCTTTAAAGTAAAAACTGAAAAATATATATTTTGTAAAAACTGGAAAAAAAAATTACAAATATATATATTTTTCAGTTTTTTCAATTTTTTAAAGTATATTTTTGTAAAAACTGAAAGAAAAAAAAGATTTTGCAAAATATTTTTATTTTTTAAAACTAATGCATATGTAGCCCACTACTTTAGGAGAGTCTTTTTTTTTCAGTTTTTACAAAAAAAATACTTTAAAAAAACTGAAAAAACTTTAAAATATATATTTTGCAAATTCTTTTTTTTCAGTTTTTACAAAAATAAATTCCAGTTTTTACAAAATATATGCTTTAAAGAAACTGAATTTTAAAACGGGTCGGGTGGTGGGTTTTTTAAAATGGATCGGGTAAAAAAAATGGATCGTTTTCATCTGGTGCTGCCACGTGACACTCCATCCAAAATAAGGGTATATTTGTTCCAAAGTATGACTGAAGGGGTATAGATAACCCAATAATATAATGAGAGTGAAAGGGTATAGATAACCCAATAATATAATAAGAGTTATTCTTAAACTATTTTCGAAAGTATATGAGTATATTTGGCCATAAATCATATTTAGAACGGTGGTCATACATTCACAACTTAATGTAACATTAGACTCGAGTGGTGGAGCATTTGATTCTGCATTGTCATTAAATAAGGGGTACCCTACAACTGAAAAGTAAAGTTGTCCTCAAGATAACTTTTTGAACATCAAGGCCCCACTTAAGCATAAGTTTGGAATATAATATTCTAAATTTAAGATAAATTAAAGTTTATTCAGCGTATGATATCAGTTGGAAAGGAATTACGACCAATTTCCACCCAAAATTTGATTAAAGGATAGTCAAGAGCCGAGTTTTGTTGTGCGGATGCCGAGAAAGGTGGTAAAAATGTTTACTAAAAGAAAATGGCAGTAAATTTGCAGCAAAAAAGAAAAAAGGATTATTCTGAAAAAAAAAAGGTTTATAATAATAATAAGAAACTATTTTCTCTCACAATTATGCAATTTTAGCAGGACTTAGTTTGGAGCTAAGCCCTTCTATTAGAAGTGGTCTATAAATTTCCCACAACTAAAAAGCAAAAAGGTAATTTTTTGATACTTCAACTTCTTTTCCTGCCAACCAAACGGTAGAAATCTTAGATTTTACCTCACTGACAAGTATAAATTACACTGACTTATAATTCGTAGTTGAGGCATTTATACGAGTTTTTTCGGAAGGAGCAATAAAACGTTTTTCTTTGATAGCCTGAACAAGCTTATTTCATATGCCTTTAAATAATACGAAAATAAACAATAATGTGGGGATTAAGTAATAGGCTTGTCACGACCCAAAATTTTCACATTCGAACCGTGATGGCACCTAATATTTCACTTGCTAGGCAAGCCAACGTTAGAATAATATTATTTATTTTTAAAATAATTTTAAATTTATTAATAACAAAGAAACAAATGCGGAAGCAAAGTTTGAAATATAGTGAATAATTCATAAAAATAACGGTGTCTAAATACCATCCCAGAATTGGTGTCACAAGTTCACGAGCTTCTAAAATAATGCAAATAAAGGTCTGAATAAAGTAAAGCTATCTGAAAATAAACACACAACTAAAGTAAAATAGGCGGGGACTTCAAAACTGCGGACGCCATGCAGTTATACCTCAAGTCTCCTTCGAGTAGCTGAAATCCGAGCAAGTCTATGGTACGCCGCCGGGACCAACTCCAAAATCTGCACAAGAAAGTGCAGAGTATAGTATTAGTACAACCGACCCCATGTATTGGTAAGTGCTGAGCCTAACCTCGACGAAGTAGTGACGAGGCTAAGGCGGTTCACTTACATTAACCTGTACGCAGTATTAATAACAACCACAAATAATAGAAATAAATCAGGTAACTCATTTATAATAATTGAAGCCAACCCAGCAGTCATAATCCATTATTATTTCAACCAATTCTGTTGCAGCGTGCAACCCGCTCTCACAATATATTCACTTTCGGTTCTGTTGCGGCGTGCAACTCGCTCCTCCAATATATTCATTTTAATCAAGTCTGTCATATATTTATTTCAATCAAGTATATATAGAGACGTTTAAATAAGTCTGTTATATATTTATTTCAATCAAGTATATATATAGACTTTTAAATAAGCCAGTTGCGGCGTGCAATCCGATCCCCCCAATATTGACTTTTCATTAAGTCTATTGCGGCGTGCAATCCGATCCCCCAATATTGACTTTTAATAAGTCTGTTGCGGCGTGCAACCCGATCCTCCAATATTAACTTTTAACAAGTCTGTTGCGGCATGCAAACCCGATCCTCCAATATTAACTTTTAATAAGTATGTTGCGGCGTGCAACCCAATCCTCCAATATTAACTTTTAATAAGTTTGTTGCGCCGTGCAACCCGATTCTCCAATATTAACTTTTAATAAGTCTGTTGCGGCGTGCAACCCGATCCTCCAATATTAACTTTTAATAAGTATGTTGCGGCGTGCAACCCAATCCTCCAATATTAACTTTTAATAAGTTTGTTGCGCCGTGCAACCCGATTCTCCAATATTAACTTTTAATAAGTCTGTTGCGGCGTGCAACCCGATCCTCCCATATTTTCATTTCAATCAATTTTTATTGAAGAAATTCCCCAATAAACGCAACAATTAATATAAAATCATAAGACAACAAGCATACAACAATTAGAATTTAATTATGAAACAAACAATGACAAATAATAATTTATTATAGAAATCAGGGAGAAAATAGGCAGTTTAATATTTAATATGCTAAATGTCAAATAACAATTAAAACACATAATTCAAATAGCATGTAACAATTAATGCAGGAATTCAAGAATTAATATTTTGACAAAGAATAAGAGAGAAACAATTATTATAATAATTAATTTATGATTAAAAATAATTTATGATTTTTCAAGTAAGCAGGCAAACAATTAATTTGACGACGTATAGACACTCGTCACCTCGCTTATACGTCGTTCACATGCAATTCACATAACAAATAATTTAAGGGTTCTATTCCCTCAAGTCAAGGTTAATCCCAACACTTACCTCGCTTTGCAAATTCCAATTAATTATTCAACCACATCTTTTCCTTTTAAATTTGCCTCTGAAAGTTTCAAATCTATTCACAAACAATTCAATAGATTCAATACTAATCATAGGAATTAATCCCATATGAATTTACACATTTTTCGGATAAAAATCTGAAATTCAATAAAATACTCGACAATGGGACCCACGTCTCAAATGTCGAAAAAACTCGCGAAATTCGAACACCCGTTCCAATACGAGTTCAACCATACAAAAATTGTCCAATTCCGATATCAAATAGACTTTCAAATCTAAATTTCTCGTTTTTGAAAGATTTTAGAAAAAATCTGATTTTTCTTCCATAAATTCACGGATTCATGATATAAACGAGTATGAAATCATGAAATATAATCAATATAGGATAAGGAACACTTATCCCAACGTTTCCCGTGAAAATCGCCCAAAAATTCGCCTTAACCAAGCTCAAAATGACCAAAATGAGTAAAAATATCGGACTCTTTGATATATACACTGCCCAAGCATTTTCGCACCTGCAGTCCCTGGGCTCGCACATGCGAGCTCGCATCTGCGAGAAAAATCTCGTATCTGCGGAAAAGGGGCTGCCAGCCAATGTCCGCATCTGCGTAATTAGCGCGCATGTGCGGACACGCTTCTGCGAGAAGTTGTCCGCTTCTGCAAATGTGCGGGTGCGTGCAGATTTTCGCACCTGTGGACTTTTGCCCAGCCATGCCCGGGCGCATCTGCGAGCTCGCACATGCGGTCAAAAATCCGCAGGTGCGATTATAACAGAAGGCAAAAATACATATTTTGCTTAAGTCCAATTCTTGATCCGATTTCAATCCGTTTCACTATCGGCGTACTCGGGCCCCCGTACGAATATACCAACAAATCCAATAACATTATACGGACTTATTCGGGGTCTCGTATCACGTCAAACAATGCTGAAATTACAATTCACACCCTGATTCAAACTTTGAGTTTTAAACTTTTCAATTTGCAAATCTCGTGCCAAAACATATTAAATGAATCCGGAATAACTTCAAATTTGGCACACAAGTCATAAATGACATAACGGAGCTGTTCAAATTTTTAGAATCGGATTCCGGCTCCGATATCAAAAAGTCAACCTCGTGGTCAAACTTGGAATCTTTAGCCTTTAAATTGCTAGTTTCGTTAAATGGTCATAACTTGAGCTAGTGACCTTCAAATTAAATTCTGGGCATACGCCCAAGTTCCAAATCACGATACGGAGCTACCAGAACTGTCAAAACACTGATCCAGGTCCGTTTGCTAAAAATATTGACCAAAGTCAACTCAGTTGAGTTTTAAAGCTCTATTTCACATTTTAATTCATTTTTCACATGAAAACTTTCCGAAAAATTTTACGGACTGCGCACGCAAGTCGAAGAATGATAAATGGTGCTTTTCAAGGCCTTAGAACACAGAATTATTTATTAAATTTAAAGATGACATTTTGGGTCATCACAAGGCGGTAGTGTTATTTGTACATAATGCCTCTTTACAATTTTGAATTTAAAAAAATGACTTTTTTAGATCTCTTATGTGTACAAGACAGATCTCTTACGTGTAAAAATAAATCTCACATGTGTAAAAAAAAGTAGAGTTATAAAACTAAAAACAAGTTTGTAATGAGCCAAAAAACCAATTGACACGACAGTGCTATTTGATGGAAACAATGTACATATATAGTTGTGCTAGTTGATTATATTAGCCTTCTCATTTTACATTGCCACTTGTTTGAAATACATTGTTTAATCTGGCAAATCTCGTCGTGTGCATCTTGAGTGATGGTGGATTAAGAATTATTTGTTGGGTTTTATTAATTAAAACTAAAAGAGGTGTGAATGATGTTGGGAAATTTAACCCTCACAAAAATAATATTCACGGTATACGACTATAATAAATGCGGATTACTAAAATACTGTAACCAACGGTAATAATAAGAGAAATAAGGACATCTAGATTTTTACGTGGAAAACCCTTCTGAATAAGAGAAAAACCACGGCCCGAGAGGAGCAACTCATTTCACTATAACGAGGATTTTACTATTTGTGGTATCGAGTAAAATACTCCAAGACCACTAAACACTCAAAAGAAATAACCCTCTTTTGATTTTTCCACCTCACTACAATACCGCTCAAACTCTCTATATTTCTCCTCACAGAGTATTTTTCTTCTTACTCTGTAAATCACTCTATTTCTCTTTGTTTTGGTGTGATTACAAATGAAGGTAGAGGCACCTATTTATAGTTGATGAATGCTCATATTGATGTATGCAATGACATCAATATTCACTTCAAAAGCTAGTTTCCTAAATTGAACTTTTAAATTGGTTGGTTTGACAAAACCAAAAGGAAGCTTCATCTTCTTTCACACGGGCCATGTGATGGATCCAATAAATGAAAAATGATGGGAAAAGAAATGGAGGGAAATAAAATTTTAAATTAGTCCCTCTTACAAAGGAACTTTATCACTCGTTGGATAGGAAGAGAAAAATCCTTGTGCTTATATAGAAGCACTTCTTCTCGCTCTTAGAGAGTTGAGAAGAGAGCAAACCTTGCGTCGTCGTTGTCGCCGCTCGCTCAACTCGGTTCGACTTTGGATTTGTTGATAATTTTTTGGACCAGATTTATTTTCCATTTCTGTCATGTAACCATTTCCGTCATTTCATATTTCCTTTCCTAATATTTTTTTCCAACAATCAAATTCGCGACCAGCCATTCCGTTTAACAGAAATTCAAATAATTTCTGTCGAATGGATACCTCTTCAAACGAACAAGCACCTTCGCACCTGTTGGGACTCAATGTTGTTGGCTATAAATAGAGAGGCTCAGCCTCATTTTTCATTGCCGAATCTGAAAATCTCTCCCCTCTATATTCTGCATTCTACATTGTTTTTCAAAGCAAAAACGTAAGCATTTTGTTTGATTTGCTCCGCTATTTGAGTTCGCCGAAATTCTGTGATTTGAAGTGCCGCTATTACAAAATAGTTATTTTGTTCTATCTTGGGAGGAATTAATTCGAAACCTTAGGCAACTGTTAGGGGATTAAATTTCTTAAGGACACACAGAAAACTTGTGGGCTCGAAATTTTCGGTTTTTGTTTTCTTAAACTAACGTCTGACTTTGAATACACAATTCTAACATTATTGCACTAGGACTACCATCCCTCCATCGTTAAAAAATAGGGATGAGTACATTGCTATTAAAACTGAATTACCAAGTCTCTTTGAAATATATTATATTACCAGTAAAATCTCAAGATTTTAGATTAACTACTGTGGCCTATCCAATTTTTCCAAAGTTTAGCACAGTATCTCTTCTTTTTACCACTTTTATATTACTTCATAACTGTAACCAGACTATTTCTACACTTGAATTCTTATCGATCTATATACTTAAAGTCAATAACAAACGGAATTTTTGAAGAAACTAAACGACAGACCAAACACTTAGAAAACTGCCATGTCGCACGATAATTCTAAATTTGGATCAATTTTCTCCTCTTTTTGTTTCTTTTGCTCGTTTTCGCAAGTACTTATATCTTCTGGCAATCTAAAAGTAGATAACTATAGTACGTATATATTGATCCATCATTTGAAGGTGCAACACAACGCACCTAAGGCGACGTGTTTAATCTCAGGTGAAGTACACGAATAGTCTTTAGCCACCAACGAGTCTAAAATTGAGCTTTGCCAAAGCTTAAGAATGAAGTTCAAGTTCAAACCAGGTTTGAAGTTAGCCTTTAGCAAAGCCAACTTCAAACCCGAAGGTCTAAGAAAGCAAAAGCAACAAGAGGTTCGGTCCAAAACCTGGCAATACATTAAATAGTTTTTAAGAACTGAATATATTTTAAATAGGGGTACTACAGGCAGCTACCTAGTGTCATTTCTACTTTAATCTCCCTACCGACCAGTCCGCTTTACCACTTTTTAGCCCATTATGTCTTAATATGTTATTCTTTATTTTGTTTGAAAACCTTGTGAAAATTATTCAGCTATCTATCACGATTGTAGCCTCTACCATCATACAACATTGTTAATTGTTATGCAAAGGAATATTTGCTTCACACTTCAATACCAACTATCTACTCTGTTCATGGTGACAGTACTAACAGCACTTCCAAATATGCCAAAAGAACCAGTAGCAGAATATCTGTCCATTTGACACTGAGGATTTTGTCCCAACCGTTGCAATTATAGCGGATAGAAAAATAAATATAATATGACTAGCAAGATAAAATTGAACCTTTCATGTTAACCCACATTAGCAGTTACTTAAGTTTCTCCACAAAGAAAGAAAACAACTGGATACATAACTCAGTTTAGTGTAAGAGACCCATACAAAGAGCCTTCAAGTACTGTCAAGTTCTACACCTAAGTCCCAGTAAGTTGCTCCATGGCACAATGAAAATTTCGGCTAAAAATTTACGGCTAACATTTTCTTTCCCAAGGCATAATCAAATAACTCAACAATGGATGTTGCGCATAGGCCTATCTCTACCTATGTGGGATTGAGAAGAGTATTATATGAGGTTAAAAAAATCAATATTTCATTGAGCATCATAAACCCTAAAACAATATTACAATAAATAACTAATATCAAGGTTAATGGAGGTAGTACTTTGCAAAGAAATGCAACTCTTACCAAAATGGTGGAGGGCGTATGCACAAGACCCGCTCTCATCAATCTGCTTGATACTCTGATTCTAACAAATGAATTCAAGATGGCATTTAAAGGATTAACGGTTCTCATGCAGAGTGGCTGCTAAGTGGGCTTCGCCCAAGATGAGAGACCCTAGTTGAAGGAATAAAGGGTGCTTCCTCATCCACTGTTGAATCCGGAGAACCATTCCTTGTACCTTTTCCTCCACCGTTCTTAGCAATATCATCTGACACATACAGATCGAATGACTTCTTCTCCATTTTAAGTTCCTATCAGAGGCAAGGTGCAGAAAGTAAATATTTTGGCACTGCTTGCAATAAAAACCATCTTAACTAGAATAAAGAATTGCATGCAAACAGAAAATTCCACATCGGATGGAGACATGCATAATTAATAAACATGAAAGCTCAAAATAAGTTTTAAAATGACTAGGAAAAAAATTGTCAGAAGATATAATTATAAGCTTATAGAACGTATTTGTTAACTGTTGATTATTAGTTTACATTCATGTGCTCTCTAGCCGAGGGTCTATCGGAGACAGCAGGAGGGTAGGCCGTAGGGGGTAGTTCTGCGTACACATTACCCTCCCTAGACCCCACTTGTGGAAATTTACTGGGTTTGTTGTTGTTGTTGATTATTACTTTATTAGTTTACGTATGAAGTGTTTATTCTCTAGCTCCTGCCTTATTCCTTTTTCTGTTCATATCGAAACCCTTCTCTAGACACGCTAGGATGAATTTTATATTTGGAAATTGATATTGCAAACCAGGATTCCAAAGAACCAAAAACATGGATCATATGCTGGTGATATTTTGTGCAGTTTTTATTTAAATTTTTTTTGAAAACATCAAGAAAATGATGAACGAAGAAAAAGAACAAAAACTTAAATAGAAGAGACAGTGCAAAGTCTGACACTCAAACTTGAAAGTCATTAAATCAGACCTTAGCTGTTCGTTCAGTAACACTATCTACAGGAAGTTGAACAGCTCGAACGTCCTTCATCTTCAAGTAGTTATACATCACAACACCGCATAATGCTATAGAAAACAGAAAAAGTTCATTAAGATGTTTGATCGCATAAAGCTCCCATAAATAGAAGGAACCAAGCTTACCAATGGCATAGCCTGTAATATTAAGAGTGGTTATTGTCGACTCTGGAAAAATTAGAGTTGAGAGGGCAATAAGTATCCAATCTTTCAAGACACCGGCAACTCGGATGGTTACAGCACCAGTTCTACCAATCACTAAGAAAATTGAGAAATTCAGAGCAAGAGCACAAAGTGCATTTGAAAAGAAAATCCAGAAGTTGAATTGAATTTGTGAGACTTCCATCTCAGGCTTCTCCAGAAGATACCACGGGACAAAAAGAAAGACAAAGCTGCATATTGAAACATGTAATCATAAGTAACTAGAAGAAACAGTACAGCACTTGCATGAGGCTCCAAAACAGAATAAAGACAGACATATAAAATACAGAGATCATTCTCATACTTGCTTATTATCAGGTGACACATAGCAGCAATTGCCTCGTCATAGATCTCTCACTAACTGAGGTAAACATAACTATGGATTGCGTCTATCTATGTACAGAGAACAAATTTACTTTAAAAGAACTTGCAAGCAAATACCAATCTCTCTAGCATCATTTCTACCTCTTTCGACTCCATAAGACCAGCGAGGACACAGTAATCAGTCATGCCAGATGCAGGACACAGCTAAACACATAACAACGTGCTAACAGAAATATAAAGGTCATTGCTTTCGAAAAGGTATATATTTTAGAGTCAGAAATGCATAAGAAAGAAATATGTGGTTACACCTTCCAACTTGAGCTATAACACTTGGAAGCACATACTCTCATGCAATTTGAAACTAACAGCTTTAATAGAAGTGTCATATGGAAGTGCCTCTTTCAATATCAGAAATTGACTGATTTGAGGTTACAGTGCAGTCATACAGTCATAATCTCTCTCTCTAAGAAGATATCACCTATTCATCTGCACAACATGATAGCAAATAACTCAACGAACGAGATAGAAGATGAATACCTGCAAGGAGCTATGTAATATAGGCTGGTGATAGGATTGAGAGTTAATCCCTTCTTCTGAAGCAGAACTTGAGTTAAGACCAGCCTAAGAGCCTCAGCAAATATTCCAGTGACCTGATACACTGTACCAACTACATTGAAGTGAATTTCTCCATAGGAGGATACTACAACGCCAACACTGACCAGCACCATGTTCATGAATATGTCGCATCTTAACTTGTCAATTCCACAAATAACAGCCATGACAAAGGTGGCCACTGGCACTGTCATTTCAACACAAAGCTACAGCCAATTAGTACATTCGCAAACATTGGGACAGACAACTAAAAAAGTGTTACCCAGGCATACTTAGAGCTTTCAGCATCTGGATAAAGGCTACAGAAATGAACAGATAAGCTGTGTTCCCAAACCTGCAAGAAAATAACATATGCTGCTTTTAGAAACACAATTATTAGAACTTCAATTCATGTGAGTAATGAAACATATAGGAACTCAGTAACTGAAACAATCAGTGAAACTCTCCCCAAAGAAATATTCTTTTGGCAAACAACAGTGGAAAACATCAATTAATTCTATGAGACAATAATTCACTCATTTGGCAATGATGCACAAAAATGTCTGATTTTCTTATCGCCCCAGTTCTCATAGCTTTACTATATTCCACCTCTGCTTTCCTAGACAAGTAAAGTGTCAAGGAAGAACAAGGAAATCTAACCGGCCAAAAGTCTTCCTCTGTTGTAGCACAACTAATTCAATGAGAGAAAAGTCAAATAGAGGAAAAGCATTTGGCTATATACTTGAAACCAATCAATAAACCCATTGTAACAGGTGACATACAAGGTTAAAATAAATACTTCCTTATCAAAAAGGTTGAAACAAATTCTCAATTCAGCTCAATACTAGTTCATTAACCTGAAACGTCCAAATTGCTTAGGACAGTTTAAACACTATTAGCTAGATAACCCAAAAGGTCGAGGTTTCCTGCATCATCAGAAACAGAACAAGAGAAGCAGGACTACGTTCTTTTTTCTTTACACTTTCCAGTATTGACTTCCAACAAGGTGACTGGTTAGTTGGACATAGGTCCAATGAGCAAAATTTATGCCAATCTAACACATCCTTCTTTTAAAATAAGAGCAGATGAAAATAATATCATGTAAAACAGTAAAAGTACTCTTTTAGGTTAGATTCAAGGGTATACACGGCTTCGTTGTTAGTGCATGAAAAGTAGATATCACATATCCGGAATAAGTTAACAGTCAATTTTCATATATCACCAATATGCATTCATAGCTAATCCATTTATCACAGTTTGAGCCAACCATCAATGACCCATTTACTTATGAGATTGCACAACACCTGTCATGTGGACATTTTAACCAAATGCAAACAAGACATTCAGTTCCTCAAAGTAGAATCTTACCAAAGACTTGAAGCAAAGAAAGCACTAATGGGAATGACACACGTCGCATATCTGCAGATTCAGTAATAAATAGTGAAATAAGACAGCATTACATCTGAAGACAAAGTGGATGCAAAGGAGCAAATTCTTACATTACAAATGTCATTTTGACAGGCGATACAACCTGCACAAAAAATAAACATGAATGGAAGGAAATCAGCTGAGCCCTAGTCTTATGCATCAAATGGAATGAAAAATCGCGCACGATAAACTAATTTCCCTTCGAGTAGACGAAGAGTGAAGCTAAAGCCATCCAAATGCCAAGTTAGATATCCAAAACATGAATAAATTTATGAATTTATTTATCGTTGCAAACCCTCCCCATGCGCCCAGAGGGATCTAACATGAGGAATTCTGTAAGTGGTTCATCAGAATCACCGCAAAAACCTCTCCTCAGGCGTCAGGGGGGTTAAAAGAATATGATCAATCATTAAATAGCAAGTGCTTTCTCAGAAGTAAGCTCCCGGGAAAAGTTCGCATCAAAAGCACAAAAAAACCTTTGTGAAGTGTGATAAAGGCTGAAAAGTAACATGTGATGAGTCTCTTCAAAATCCATGACAAAAATCGAGACTGGTGAAACGTGAATGATGCATAACAACAAACAAAGAAAACATTTTTACAACAAGGTCAATAACTAATAGGTAAGCAAGAAGTTTTCATCAAAGAGCAGAGTGCAAAATGTTGCAAGAAAGATGAGACTGTTAATACCAATTACAATACCATACCTTGAAGACACGGATAAGAAGGAAAGCTACTAAGCCTGAAAAGCCCATATGAATCATTGTAAGTGTAATTGGTAATGGGAAATTGAAATATTTTGGTGAAAGAACCCACTGCAAAAACAGAAACCAGGAAACCAAAATAAGAATCATTAGCTCTTACTGATAGCACTGGCAAGATAAAGAATCAGACCTGAATGATACAGAAAAATATACTGAGCAGAATTAGTGTCTTTTTCTTAAGACGATGTTGCACTAGTGCAGAGCGGAAATGAAAACATCATACAGCAAGAGCACAATGAGAGTGAGAAAGTGTCAGTTAGTAACATGTTGCTTATCCTGGAGCATGGCTTATCCAAAGACCATCTATCTTTTCTACTTCTCCCTTTCCATGTCCTCCTTCCAAACAAGTAATTACCAAAAACTGAAGCTCCAAAATGTTAGTCCATTCCTTTTTCCCCTAAGTAAAATCTTTCCCTGCAGCATACTCAGTGAAAGCGGAGACATAATTGGACCTAAACCTACGAAACTGCTAAAGGGTGAATGGTGGAGGGAGGGAAAACGAGAATACGAGAAAAAAATAAAAAGGAAAACTTAGAAAGGAATAAATATCTAAGTGCATTCAATTTTAACATTGATGTATGGACGAACTTTCTACAGTTTCGAAAGTTTGAGATGCAACAAATATCTTATGACAGAAGATAAAGGGAACTATCATTAATTAGGTGGAAATGCTACAGACTAAAGGTTAGAGGGAAATCTATCCTCTATATTTTAATGTTAACAATAACAACTAGTACTACGTCTCAAACCCAGCTAGTGGGGACAACTACATCAAACCTCATTTTCCATGTCGCTCCATTTGGACGTCTCATTCCAATACTCAATAATTTGGAGCTCTTTAGTACTAAAAGTTATCTACATTTTCTCACATACAAATTTCTAAACAAGCTAAAAAGACTCCGAGCAAACATTTTTCAAATGTAAGTGTACAATATGATTAAGCTTGAAACCAACTAAGTAGCTGTTATTGTCCAATGGATCTTCTGTTTCTATTGTGTTCTCTTTTTAGTCAAATCTACATGAAACACCAAGAGATTGTCAGCTTTTTAGACATTTTCGTTCCATGTGATTTGAATCTATTTCATGCTCTTTTAATACCTTCAATAACCATGATTTTAAGTAAATGACTATCTTTTAATGACCATAGACCAAACATGTACAATATAATATGTGTGTGTGTGTGTGTTTTTTGTGTACAAGCATCTGACAACATCATTGGTTTTCACATCAACAGCCACTTAGATTATTACTCACACAATGGTTGGTTCCCCACCAAAATATTTTCTCTTCCTTCATGTTGTTTGGTGCGCTTGGATGGAACGCAAGAAATTATTTTCCAATTTTCGTTCAGTGCTGCATACAATAGACCCTTGTGGTCCGGTCCTTCCCCGGACCCCGCGCATAGCGGGAGCTTAGTGCACCGGGCTGCCCTTTCAGGCTAATTTTACAAGTTGATCATGGATTACCACCGGCTTGATCAAAACTTCCCATACTTTTCTTCCTCAATGAAGAAGCTAACAACATGAAAACTTAATTTAGTTACTTCTGGAAGCCAGAGGCACAATATTGATAACAGCTTGTTACTTTTGGTTGTCCTTCTCATAGGTTGCCAGAACCACAGTTTTAATCTAAAGTGTCCCCTTTTAAGTTCTGACCATATTCTATTGAGTTGCAAATCTAGAGCGTAAGACTATAACCAACGAACAGTGATCCATACAACAAATGAAGTGAAAGAAAGTCACACGACACTAGAGAAAACGAGATACCTTGTTATACAAAATAACTCCTGATGAAAGTGTTATATAGACAAAGAGATATATATACGTCAACACAAGTTGTTTGCTGATCTTCATCTTTTCTTCTATGACACTTTGCGATTTGGCTAGCAGGCCTCCAATCTGCCTAAAAATCTAACAGATGCTCTCCAATCTGGCTAAAAATCTAACAGATGCTCTCCAATCTGAAGATCAAGAAACTCAAGTCCACAATAATTTTTGCAGATAAGAGGTACACCATCAGCTCAGCTGCTGTTTATTCATTAGAAGATGATATATAATGTGCCAAGTCTGTTTCTGAATATGCTGTTATTGTAGCAGGTTTTGATAGAATCTGGAAATAAATGATAAAGTAAGGAACATTTTTTATAATAAAAAATATATTATAAGAACACCTCATTTTAACAAGGCAATTAAAACATTCTCATCAGATAAACATGGAATCAAACAAATATTGTTGATATTTTATCGACTTTCACTAGAAACGGATAACTTTGTGATGAAGAGCAAAACTTTACTGGCATCACATGTATGACATGAAAAAGAAAAACCATGATAACTGCTAAAAAAGACTGCAAATGCAACCATTATATATGACTCTGCCTCTGTGTGTGTGTCCAGAAACAAACATTAGTTAGATATGAACGAACAGAAGATCAGATGTAAAATGAACAATGTCAACTTGTCGGTCCATGAAATGCAATATAACAAGTTACCTCAAGAAGATTTGGAGACAAAATAATACAAGATAATGGCATACAGGCTAGTCAGGGTTTAAGAAAGATTGAGTCTATTAGTATGCACAAAACAGTTAGCAGCATGAATAAAATAGTTAAGACACATAATACAGCTTTTTTATATAACTTCAATGAATAATAGCTGCAGTCATTCTAGAGCATGGTGCACATTAGTATGAAATGTAGAAATTTACGAACTAAAATTGGTAGCAAGCTCAACTTCAACTTGAAACTTATCTTTCTTTTTTTCGCTTTCTGTAACTGAAACTTAGAAACTCGGCATATATTTCAAACAACTAATGATATCAAGCAGCTCACTAAGCCGGAAATTAGCAGTGTCCAGTTATCAACCATCAGCATTTTCCCAATGCTGAATAATGAATATAATCCACACAGGTAAGCATATAAGTAAATTCTAAAAACATACAGCCAACGGCGTTTAATTTAAAGTCTGCAAAGAGATTAAAGCATTGCATATGAACTACAAATGAATGATACAAATAACTCATCGCTAGAGCAAGCATGTGAGTCACGCCAAAACATAATTCAGAAGAAGAAAAAAACAATACTACCAATAATAACAATGCGCATCTGCAGCACGTAAAGTATAATAAAAACAATAAGAATAAAAATGAGAAATAAAAAATTAAGTGAGAGCATAAGAGGAAAAACTGAAACAGGGGGAAAACGACGAATCAGGTGTGAGGAATTAGAAATGGAAGTAAAGTCCTTACAAATAGAACAAACTCGAGAGGCGTAAGCACAGATCTGAGGCAAGCGAGGTAGAGAGAAAACGAGATGCGATCAATGCTCGCCCGCTCGATCTGGAATGGTTAGTTTAATCGTCTCGATTCTCGAATCCGTTGCCCTAATAATACAATTCTAAATTCGTAATGTTTATTTACCCCGTAGCAGGGGCTTATTGCGCCTAAGTGAGCAAGATCAAGCAATGTGACTGAGAGTGAAGCTACTAAAGGGGCTGAAGAGGGAGATGCAGTGTTTGTCCCAAACGTAGAGGTGCGGTTAAGACACATGCGTTTTCTTTGCCCGCTCTTACACTCCACACTCGCCAATGATAAATTTATGTGATATAGTATTACTCATAGTTTACACCGCTGCTACATAATCACGATGCTATAATATTAAACTAATGGAGTTAGATTTAGAAAAAGGGGTTTCTAACCTTTTTGCTTATTATCCGTTTTGGTAAACATCATAAGTACTTATAAGCTAAAATCAATCATAAATTGAGGTTATTTTTTGTTTGACCAAGACTTTTACAACTTTATCCCTAATAATATTTATTAATTTACAAAATATTTTTCCCAAAATAAATTTTCTAACTTTCGTTTCATTCCACATTCGTTGTTCATATTTTTCTTTACAAAGAAACTTTTTGATTTATAATATTTTGTAAAGTTTTTAAGAATATTTTAGTCATTTTAATAAAAGAACAACTTATCAGCATTTTTTCACCAAACACATCAACTGTTTTTTATTAGTTTCAGCACGTCTATCCAAACACGTAAATGATTATTTAAAAACTCATTTTCGACACTTAAAAATACTTTTTAGCAATTCAAGTTTATTAGCAATTTACAATCAGCTAATCCAAACGGGTTTTATATTTATTGCCCTAACAAATCTATCAGACATAACGAACCGTATTAATGTGGCTAAATCTTAAAGTTAACTAGTCAATGTGGATGTTTTGCTTATGGTTCATTTTGTATGACTTTCAATATAATTATAGAGATTTTTTTTTGCACAAAATAAAAATCTACTTAAATGACCTAATTATATCAAGCTGCATATCCTTATTCTATCTTCCACATGCCTCACATTTGAACTTAATATTGAATGCGATCATTTCTAATATTGCCTAATATTATATTACTGCTCATCAACACATTTGACACTCATTCGATATGTTCAAACTTGAAGAATCAACGATCACTTTCGTGTAGAATTATTGATCTAGTGATTGTTCTATAAGACTTGCATTTACTTTGTTAGACTATTGAAATAGAGGCAGATGAGATGTTTAGAGTTAATAGGAATTCATTACAACTTGAATTACGACATTTTTGTAGCAATGCATGCAAAATCTGTATAAATGTCTGCATTATTCCTTTTGATTTACTCAGCTATACAAACAATTGGAAAAAAAAAGTGCGTTCCCACTTGCATGTAGCATATATTATGTACAACATTTATCCCTGTTGGAGAGTAATATATAATAGGTTAGCTCTAAGGTCGATTTTGTTTGTAATATTTGTAGTCCGCAATCCTTGTCAAAACACCAATTTCCTGCCTTGGATTAGATCGCGAAAAAGACACATATGTAAAGTTGACAACAATACGTCATGTCATAAGCAATCATCAACCAAATCTTGAATCTTGAAAGTAATTGTATTTATAAATACATGAACTTTCTCCGACGCATAGATCTAAATCTACCATTGTCCATATAACTTTATTTACTTCATTTTTTTGTAATCTGTTATTTCTTGCCTTTCATCTGTGTGTCTAAAGTATGAGTTTTATAAAATATCTTATACCATAGAAGTCTCACCCAGGTCCTGAAGTGTTTTCAGAATGTTTGGAACAAATTGTCTTATACTATCAATCTATAGCACTTAGCCTGAAAATAAATAACACAAGTAAACTGAACGAATTTTTTTTTTATTTCTGCGTTGCTAAATTAAACTGGCTACTTTTAGTAGTCTTTTTTTAATCTTTAAGGTATACATAACATTTTGGGTGTGTTTGGTACGAAGTAAAATGTTTTCCTCGAAAAATGTTTTCCCGTAAAATGAGTAATTTTATCACTTATTTTCTCATGTTTGGTTGTTGAGTAAAAAACTTTTTCCGAAAAATATTTTCTAGTGTTTGTTTAGAGAGTAGAAAATACTTTTTAGAAAAATAATTTTTTATGCTACTTACCTTACTCTCTCCCCCTTCCTTCTCACAAATCCTCATGTTTCCTGTACTCCC